TCCGTGTTTCACGTCTCCAAAGTTTCTACTTTAATATAGTTTAGTAAAGCCGGGCTCAGTGGCTCAGCCTGTAATCCCACGCCTTGGGAGGCTGAGATGAGTGGATTGCCTGAGCCCATGGGTTCGAGACCCGCCTGGGCAACTTGGCGAGACCTCATCTCTGCAATAAATCAAAAATCAGTCAGGCGTGGTAGCGCGCACCTGTAGTTTCAGCTACTTGGAAGGCCGAGGCGGAAGGATCGCCGGAGCCCAGCAGGTGGAGGCTGCGGTGGCCGCCCCCGGTCCAGTCTGGGTGACAGAGTGAGACTCCAACTCAAATATATATATAGTTCAGTAAATGGAAATTTGGAATGAAGGACAGATTCTGGATAAAATTTAATTCAGAAATCCTTCGAAATACGACAGTTCAAACCTAGGACCAGGGGATCACATTGCATTGCTTCCCAATATATGACTGAGCTTCCGAACATGCATGCGCCTAATAAAGTTAATTAGGAGGAATATGTGAAGTCTAATTTCATAGTCCACGTTTAATTCAGACCACTCACAACCCACCCAATTATACAGCTACCACATCCACAGGTCTAGTATGTTTTTCCACAAGATGCCGTGCTAAGTAACCAGTCACACCAAGTGCTCAAAATACAGTCACCTGTGCATTATATTACTCTCTTTTCCCTCTGGTTTTCACTGTGGCCTTTAGCAGCTTCAACAAGAGGTAATAAGAACTTAGCAAGTAGATCTCCCAACCAATAAATTAATTCACTTGAAAGTCACCCTTAAAAAAAAAATCAGTAGTGTATTTTTTATGTTGGGGGGAATAGTATGTTCACTTTCAAACAAGCGTGGCCCCCTGTGTGGTTCTCAATGCCTAAGACTCCACAGTTTCTCAAGAGAATTGCTATCTATAAAACTGTAACGGTAGTTATTGATACTATAAATGTACACATGATCCAATTGCACTGAAACGCACACATGTAACAGATAGTTATTTGGAGACTATCATTCCTCTGTGCATTTTAAAGCCAATGGTAACAGAGAGGAGAGGGGGAAATAATTCCCAAGAAAGTAAACCTATTGGTAGATTCACACAAAGAAAATCTAAGTAATTGTATACATTCAACTTAAGATTCACTTCCTGTCTTGAGCACACAGTGTCAAAAAAGAAAGAAAATCATTCATTCATTCAAATAAAACAGAGAAGTGGTTCCAAATGATCAAAGTTAATATTTTTATGAAGTTGTAAGGAAGGACAATATCTTACAACACAGAAAATTGGGGAGACAATGATTATGAAAATTAAATTTCCTGTGAGACTATTTGACCTGTATTTGACCTAAAGTTAGACAAAACATTTATTTTTAGATAGCAACTAATTTGAAAACACAACAAAATGAAAAAAAAAATTATCTTCAAAAATGGTCTGTTAAAAAGTCTTTTTAAGGTACAGTACTAATAAACTAAGGTCTACCTAGAGGTCATACCTTTAGGTATTAAACATGTTAACATAGATTTTAAAATACTGTTAATGGAAAATTAAACTAAGAGATATACATAGGTAATGCTTCATTTACCCATATATAAGTAATGTAAACAGAAGATATGAAGATAAATCATTATCTATTCTAATTTTATATTGGCTTTGAGCTTCTTGCCAGTTAAACAATGCTATACTTTAATTACTGACTTTCAATGGTTAGGAGAGCAAAATGTAACACTGTAAACATTATTAGCATCAACATATTGCATATTAAGTAGAGTAAAAAAAAAGCAAGATTACATTCAAGTAAAATTAAATTTCTTGAGTCATCCATACTCAAATCCCAAATCTCTCTCTAATACTTTCCAAACTAAGAAAAAGAGTTATAATTACAATCCCATTCATTGTTTTTCTGTCATCAGAACCAACATATAAAATATGATGGTGAAACTATCTCCTTATATATATATTATACGCATTATGTCTCCTTATAATATATATATATATATACGCATTATGAGAAAGCCACTTACAGTTATATATATAGCTACTTCAATTAACTCACAATTCAAATATTTTAAATGGATCTTACAAATAGCCCACACTTATTTCTAACAGAAAAAAAAATAATGGGAGTTTTATCTTATTCAGAGGGACAGATGCAGACTTTGGGAGACCAGTATGCATAATTCTCATGGTCTTTTTTAAGAAAATTAATACAAAATTCCCAGCCCAAAGTTAGGTTCAATACATTCTCAAGGTATAAGTGAGGGGTGTTGAAGCTTACAGTTCATTAATTTCTTGGGCTATCCACGTATGCACAGCAACTAATTTCTACTATTTCTCTGATTAGATTGCAGAAATTCAAATTATTATTACAACCAGTCACATCCTGTCTTTCATTTCCTGCTACTCTGACCCCAGTTTCCTATCGTTTCATAGGTTATATCCACTTATAAGAGATCAACTTCAATGAAGGTGAGAGCTGTTCCCTTTCTTAGCATTACATTCATCTGCAAGTCAAGATAAAATAATGTATTTCCTGAAGGCTGATTACAGTTCTGTTGTGTAATTACACCCATGTTAACCATTGCTGATATATCAAATAGCAATTGGGGAAAGAATTTTACCAGACGCATAAGACACTGGAAATTAGTTTCAGTGTGCATATTTTAGTGCTAGAGAAATTGCCATGTATTGCCATTGTAACCTAATAAGTTGTCCTAATTTTGTGCCAGCAGGACCAGGGATCCACAGTGTATGCATGTGTAAGTATACACTTGACTTTGATGTTTGGAACTGGAGCCAGTTATTTTCCCTAGGACAAATCTTTAATCTCCCAAAGAGAGACAAAAACGGGGTCTACTTTGAGCTGACCAAATCACCGTTTATAATAGTCTAGTTCTCGTCCTTGGATCAGAAGAAAATAATCTAATACTCTTAAAATAGGGTAAAAACAGCACTGTGAGAAAAATATTTACTGCATATACTATAATTGTGTAAGAAAAATAATTTTTAAATCAAATTTTGTTTTTGACTTAGACATCTTTACCAGATCTTTAAAAATCATTGTTAAAAGAGTCTATATATTTGTTTTATTAATATGCAATAAAGACTTAGAAATTAAAAAAATAAAAAGGAGTCTATGTACCTCCCCCTTAAAAACAAAACTGAAAATAAATGGTATTGGTCACTTTTACTTTTGATGCTATAATAAAAAGTTTAATTATGATATGCTATATGCTGTAACCTTATGATATGTATATAAACATTTGATAGACATACTGGTACAAGTATAGCACATGCTGTAGTATTTGTGTATGGTCTATCATTACAAAAATAAGAGAAAAATTTTATTTAGTGTATGCTTATATAAATAAATGTGCACGAGTTTTTGAAATAGAATCTGCTTTCCATGTTACCATTTTGAGCAAAAATTCTGAATACTAATTATCTGATTAAAGGAACCCTGCATCTTCTCATGATATGTCCTAAAAATAAGCCAAAGTACAACTTAATTGTCATCACTTTTTAAAAAATCACTAGCTGACTTTCTGTCTGGTTAAAATGGCATTACAACATTATTAGAAGTTTAATAATGCAAAAGTCACTCTCGAAAATAAGAGAGAGAACAATGAATATGTATTCTTGTTAGCACAATGATACATTTTAAAAGATATTAGAACCAATAGTAAACAAATAAATTAACTGATGAGCCAATCTGTCACTCTCGGTATAGGCATATTAGCCTCAGATAGCCAAGAATACCACAGAACTCTCCATGAGACTTTACTGTCTTTTTCATTAGCAAGAAAAAAACCTCAAGAAGAGTTTGCTTGTTAAGATTCTATGAGCCTAAACTGTGTTAAAAAAAAAAAAAGGTATACAAAAGAAATTTTTACCTCTAGCAACATATAGTAGGGAGAGAGATAGAAAAATGAACAATATTTATTGGAAATGGGAATTACAGAACACATTTTGAAAAGCCTAGCAAGACATAAAAGAAAGGACCTATAATGAATTCACTTAGAGACACAAGCTTCCTTTACCCATATATAAGTAGGTTTGACTAAAAAGCTCAGTTTGCATATATATTAAATATTATCAGGAGCAGAAATTGAAATAAGAACATTGGAAATGCTCCAAATTATAATCATCATCTTCACTTTAAACAATTCTTTATGAAATTTATGTTTGCCCTTAATAATTTTATTTGGTGTAATTCTTCCAAAAATTCTTATTTTCAAGTGGACAAAAACGAAAGAATGAAACTTACGCTGGCCGTGACTAACTTACATATACATAACTGACAGTTTAAAATTTCACTGTTATATTACTCTCATTTGTAAAGTCTACAATAGTTTCTAATACTGTAATAACAATACCTTCTGAACACATATACTCATGCAGTTGCTCCTTTCAGTGAACATGCTACCAGTTAGCTCTGTTGCAGGCTGAGTGATAATTAAGGTAAGGAAATGACTGACAGAGCCTAGACATAGAAATGAAAATGTTTTAGAAACATTAGTTGTAAATCTTATTTATTAGTGACATTTCTTCCTCAATTTTTATGTTAATATATGCCTTTCCCTAATTGATCTGGACAGTTTTATCTGAAGAGATACTTTAACAGAACATAAAAATGCTAAAAGGCAATGCACAAATTGTCAAAATCCATCGTCATGTAAAAATAGCCATGAATCTAAAAAATTGCTCAGAATTACTAACTTTGCATGCTGAGATGATTACAGAGATGGGCCTAATAGTTTTCTTAATTGGTGATTTCTCTCTTATTGATATAATCATTTAAAGATTTTAAAATGCACATGTTTAGATATATTCATCAAAGCATAAGTTATTAGTGAAACAGGTTGTTGTTCTTAAGAGGATTTAATGCCAAACTGACTCTCGTTTCTAAGAAGTGTTATACCCTTTCCTGACGAAAGGAATTGACGTAAAAACAAAATGGCACATAACCACAGAACTCCCTGATAATGAGTGAAACCAACATCCAACATAATAAATTCTCAAGGTTTTTTACTAAAATGTAATACCTGGATTTGTCTCGTAAACAACAGCCCCAGAAGCTCTTCTTTAATGTATTCAACACCTCCTCTCTGACCCTTGTTCAAAATGCTCTGGGTATAATCCATTAAAACATGAATGATATCTAAATTGGTATCTAAGGGGAAGCAATGCAATGTCAATGTAAAATAAATTCCTTTCTTTTCTTTTTGCCATAATAATGATGTCCGCTTTTTTTCAGAATAGAAAATACTTTTCACAGTATAGTCATCTATAGTGTATAAAATCACGTTTACAAAACCTATATATACAGAAAACCCCTTTCTTCAATTTGAAGGTTTTTAGCCATGAAAAGACATGTTGTAGAGAATGACCACTAAAGTAACTGTCCATTCTTTTAGTCTTTTTCCCTAACCCCAACAGGCAGGTATTGGAGACTAAAGAACTGTATGAACTCGTAGTACAACTGCTTGTTAGCTTTCAATAACATGGAGTTATAACTAAATGTCTTAGAAATTAGTTTAAATGCACTAGAAGATATGAATAGAAATAGCTAATTCCTTTAGTTCATCACTAAAAATGCAATTCTCTGGATTTTCCAGAAAATGAAGTAAGGATCCATATTGTGCCTCTGCCCTTGGGCAGACTGCCAAGATTTCAGATGCATTAGTTCATAATTTGTGACAATCTTCTTCTGGTACAACTTCCAGTATTATCTGTAATGTTCTGGTTACTCTGTCTACAAAGAAATAAAGAAGAGAAATTAAAAATGCATGAAAATCAAAAATGCATAAAAACAGCAAAATATGAAGCATTTGGGGTTGAATACTGAAAACACAACCGCCTATTTCACAGAGCACTTTCAAGAATTATTTACTTCATTAGAATCCTATCATGCTCAATTAAATTTGTCACTTCTGTAACTTCCCATGATGACTTCGCAGCAAGAATACATTAATATTTTGCATTCAAATAAGGACTTTTATTCATGAACCAGGAGACTGAAAATATTTTGAGACAATAGGACCAAGATATAATAAATGTTCAAAAATACACTTCATTTTCTTTCTATAATTGGTTTGGTTTTTTTTTTTTCTTTGCACCTATGAAATTACAACTAGTTCCTCAGAAGAATCAAGAGAAGAGTCAGAATATAATTTCCAATCCCTAACTTAGCGTTTGATGGAGCAAATGGTCTTATCTCCTAAGGCCTCAATTGTCTTATCAATAGAACCAGAGACAACATCAGTGGTTCTCAAAGTGTGGCTCCCAGATCTGCAACACCTGAGATGTTAGAAATGCATATTTCTTGAAACTCAACCCTAGACCTCCTGAATTAGAAACTGAAGGCAGACCCAGGCAATCTATAATTCTGATAGACACACAAATATAAGAACCACTGGGCTAGATGATTTCTATGGTCATTTTATCTCAGCTGTTCATGAACTCTGTGACCCTGGTTTCCAAGGACATTAGTTCTTGTTTGCCTCTTATCTTTGTAATCTATCCCTAGGATCCTATTTGACTTCCAACTACCCCGGAGCAGTTCAAAGTCTATCATCCTCTTAATGACTTGAGAGCCAGATCGACTTATAATCTTTCTCCTCATTTTATGACTTATTACCTGTAATAGCCCCTTCCAAGCAATTTTTTTTTTTTTTTTTGAGTTGGAGTCTCACTCCGTCGCCCAGACTGGAATGCAGTGGCCGCTCCCGGCCACCGCAGCCTCTACCCGCTGGGCTCCAGCGATCCTTCCGCCTCAGCCTTCCAAGTAGCCGGAATTACAGGCACACGCTACCACGCCCGGCTGATTTTTTTTATTTATTGTAGAGATGAGGTCTCGCCAAGTTGCCCAGGCGGGTCTCGAACTCGCGGGCTCAGGCAATCCACCACTTCAGCCTCCCAAAGGCGCGGGATTACAGGCTGAGCCACTGAGCCCAGCTTCCAAGCAATATTTAATGACACTTAGGTATTTCTTTCATCCTTTGCTTCATAACCATGTTCACCAAAGGTGTTGTCCTCTGCATACTAATTTTACAGTCTGCATTAATTGTAAAAGGGCCAACACACATTCTAGCAAAAGATAGGCTCTGTGAAAATGTTTCCTAAATAAACTGTATTTCATGACAGTCCACTCTTTCCATTGAAATATAAGTGTAGCATCAGATAGAAAAAGTAAATGGTAAAATTACCCTATAAAATAGATTTTTGTGGGAAAAGTAAATATCGATCAATTTTTTTAGGCAGAGAAGGGGCTAGAGCTATCTGATAGTAGGCTTTTAAAAAAAAAGGTCTCAGGCATCTGCAATGGTCAAATAAAAAGCAGTGGTATGATGCTGGGCGCAGTGGTTCATGTCTGTAATCCCAGTACTTTGAGAGGTCAAGACGGGAGGAATGTTTGAGCCTAGGAGTTCAAGACCAGCCTGGAAAACATAGTAAGACTTTGTCTCTACAAAAAAATTAAAATAAAAAAATTAGCCAGATGTGGTGGCATGTGCCTGTAGTCCCAGCCACTTGGTGTTTTCAGTAACTGAACCCGTAGGACCAAATAACACTAGTAGTATTTTCAACTTTACCTTTCACATTCAGTAGTTATTCTTGAAATATGCTGAAACAGAAACTGACCTTGCACGATCTGCTTTACCCAACCCTACCTGGGACCAACATGGGAACTACAGCAAAAATTTAGAAAGTTGATGAAGCAACACAAAGCTCGTCTTCCCTGAAAGTCATAATAGAAATAATAGTTGTGGTTTTTTGAGTCCGAGTCTCACGATAGCCCAGGCTGCAGTGCAGTTGCATGCTCATGGCCACCGTAGCCACGACCAGCTGGGCTCAGGTGATCCTTCCACCTCAGCCTTCCAAGTTGCTGGAACTACTGACGCGTGCCAACACACCCGGCTCATTTTTTAATTTATCATAGAGATGAGGTCTCACCAAGTTGCCCCTGAATTCAGGCAATCCTCTCACCTCAGCCTCCCAAAGTGCTAGGATTACCACTGCGCCTGGCTGGTCTTATTTTGAGTCCAAATCTCACTCTGTCACCCAAGCTGAAGTGCATTGGCATGATCATGGTTCACTGCAGCCTAGACCTCCTGGGCTTAGGAGATCCTTCCGCCTCTAGCCTCCTGAGCAGCTGGGACAACAAGTATGCACCACTATCTTCCTGGCTAATTTTTTTTTATTTTTTGTAGAGATGAATTCTCACTATGTTGCCCTGGCTGGTCTCAAACTCCTGGGCTCAAGCAATCCTCCCTCCCTGGTCTCACAAAGTGCTGGGATTACAGACTTCAGCCACCATGCCAGCCCGGCTAAATAACAGTATATATATATATATATATATATATATATATATTTTTTTTTTTTTTTTTTTTTTTTTTTTTTTGAGTCAGAGTCTCACTCTGTTGCCCAGGCTGGAATGCAGTGGCACATTCACAGCCACTGCAGCATCAACCTATTGGGCTCTGGCGATCCTTCCACCTCAGTCTTCCTAGTAGCTGGAACTACAGGAACACACTGCCACGCCTGGCTAATTTTTTAAAAAATTTATTGTAGAGACGAGGACTTGCCAAGTTGCCCGGGCTGGTCTCGAACTCACAGGCTCAGGTAATCCACTCGCCTCAGCCTCCCAAAGTGCTGGGATTACAGGAACAGTATTTTTTAAAAGGCTTTAAGATCTTTTTTGTATACATGATCTCCTTTTAGCCTTAAAATGAAAATAGTCTGAGTCCCTAGGAAATGTAGGAAAGCTTCATTAATCTAAATGTTGCACTGCAGTCTGTGTGAAAAGTCTGTTAAATGCATCAACCAGCTTCCGGTGGCATCATCAATGAAGTTATCTTGACATACTGTGTGAAGCCTATGCTTTTAGGAGCCTGGATTTGAAAAGTCACTGTCCACGAAGATGCAGCATAACCATTCTGCTGGTGTTGCTCAGTGTGATTTTTATAACCAAAGATTTTGTTTAAATGGTACTGTCTTCCATATCTCTCCCTGAGCAACAGGGATCAACTTCCAGTCACCCCACTCACCCTCAGCTGGGACAAGGTTTGGCTGAGAAATAGACAGCCAAGTACAACATCTGCTGGGAGCCCCAGTCAGGGTTTGCCGAGTCTTGCTACCTTTGTGAATTTGCATATGTCACTGGGCTATCTGCCCCTTTTTCCTAGCATGAGATGCGTGTGTTTCTATAAGTAAATAAATAATGTAACTAACCAACCAGAAGAATTAACCAGTCTCTCACAGATGGAAGAAAAAAGCTTTCCGTGTATCCGACTATTCCCTTAAGAGCAGATTTTCTTTTCTCCCTAGAAACGCTATAAAATAAAAAGTGGTTCAATACTGGCATCCTGTGGCCAGAGAAATTCATCAAATCTCTGAAAATCTCAGCTCCTAGGGTCCTGAACATTCCACGGCTGTCTGGGCTAAACATCCTTTCACCGTTTTCTGAATGCTGTTTGGTATCTCATTTTTCATGTAAATAACCTAAGTAAGACATATTTTGACAGACTATCATTTTCACAGAGATAATCTACTCATGTATATTAGTGTAAAATAAATGACAATATAAAGGTTAAGGAATTTTCCTACACAAAACGATATGATGTGAAATTACTGAACAAAGTGTTTCAAGCAAAGGCTCTCTTGGTCTCCAAATTCACACCCAGTTTCTCTCTAACAAAAAGATCATCTGGAACCCTCCTTGGAAGGAGGGTTGGGATGATGGCTTGGGACTCTGTTGTTTTGTGTGTCTGTGTGTGAGTGTTTTGTTTTGGCCAAAGGCTAAGAAAATACTTGCTATTGCAGCAATAAATATTATGAATTTTCTTTATTTTACTACAAGAATGCTGCCTAAGAGGAAAATCAAACAAAATTACAGCGGATTGTTGCTTTTTGCTTCTCACTTTCAAGGCAGCTATAAAGATAAAGAGTTACAATGATTGCAGTTTAAAGGCAGAATTGCCATGCTCCCTGGTAAGACTTAATGGCGTTTTTGAGAACCAAATAACCATTATGGGACTTCTCCATTGCTCTGAGTTTCACAAATGTCTAACACTAAATCTGGAGGCCTTGGAGATGTTCAAAGCATCTTTAGAGAGAGAAAAACAGCAACAACAAAAAAAATTTCTCAATATTACATGAGCATGGAACGACATCAAGAAGGGTCAAGCATGAAAACTGCTTATTGGTATAAACTGACTCAAAAAAAGGTACAAAATGCATACATGTTAGCAAGAGGAAGGAACTTTTTAGAGTTGACTGACAACAAACAGGAGAAACAAAATGCTTACTAAGATGAATCTGCACTTTCATCATTACTCCCTCTCATCTTAGTTCACCTCTTGGGCTACCAGCTCTTTCTTCTTCAGTTCTCTTGGTTTTCCATGGTGCACAGGGGTAAACTGTCTCTAGCTTGGACAGGAGACAGACCCAGCTCTTACAGTGATAAGTGCCAATCTGTCTTAAAGATTAGCGATGAATTAAGCAATCCTAATGGTAAATGTAGTTTAAAAAGACCTCTTTCTCCCCACCTTAAGAATAGGCTCTATATTTCATTCCTGCAACAGAGAAAACTTAAAATATTCTACAGAAAACTGGTGTGATCTAACAAGAAATAGAAATTAAATAGTTGGTTAAGGCAATCAGTGTGTCTGAGTCTACCTAAAAAGCACCTAAATTGTATGGTAACACTTCTGTGGGGAATAGTGTCACCAGAGAGAAAATAAAATCCAGGTAAAAACAATGGTATGCGGTCTAAACATACCAAACACCAACTTCAAGGAAACAAAGAGTAATAGCAAAACTCTGAGCTAAATGACTGGCTTCTAAATGAGTTTGCATTGCATACCAGAGATTCAATATGCATGTCAAATTTCTTTGTTTGTTTTTTAGTAACACTGGCATTATTTATTAATAATTTACCAGACATCTCCTAAACTTTTAATCGGGATTTTAAAATTAATTATGGTCAAGTAAGGAAATTAAAACAAAGAAGTATGAAAGTTGTATTCTAAACTCACCAAACTCACCAAACTCACCAGCTCTCTCTCTCTGTCTCTCTCTGTTTCTCTTTCTTATACAAGGGAGCCAAACTCTCAAGCTAGAAAAAGCATGGACTTTGAAGTCTAGCAGATGTGGGTTCAAATCTTAGCTCTATGGTTCGAAATGTGTACACTCAAAAATAAATTCTCCTTCTCGCTAAGCCCTGGTTTCCTCATCTGGGTTTGGGAATAACACTCCTTCACACAACAGTCTTGTTGAGGATTGACAGAGACGAATTTTCTCCTTCCCAAACTTAACTGGCCACCAAGTTCTGCTGGTTTTTGTTCCTTAATATCTTTCACTCTCTCTCTTCAGACCTTGCTGACACCACCTGTGTTCAGACCCTCCTCAATTGTCACCAGGATTGCTGTAGTAGCCACCAAACTCAATTCTCCATCTTTCAAATGTATCCTCATTCCCCCTGGGATTATTTTTCTAGAATACAAAACTGCCTAAGTTTGAATTTTCAGTTCTTCTACTTCATATCTGTATGATTTGGAACAAGTGACACGAATTCTCACATGCTATTATTCAAACTCTGTAAAATGGGCATGATCCTCTTTTCCTACCACAGAACGCTGATCGAAGAATTAACTAAGGTGATACATGTGCAAACACATGGAAATAACACAATGAATGGGAGCTGTTAGTCTTTCCTTCATTGTTCTTGTTCCCAGGACCCTTCTGTGATTCGCCATTTCTATGAATGTAGTGTTATGCTCATTGAAGACATTTGCAGGCCTCTGCCTAACTCCCCAACAAATCTCGTGCCACTCATCCAGCTATATGTTATGACACAAGATCACTAAACTGCATTCAACCCCGAAGAAAAGTAATTAGGTTAGGAAGGGATTCAAAGGAGCAATTAGGTCGTTTACAGGACTGCCGATAAAATTCTATCTAAAGAAGCTGTTCTTTTAAGGAGTGATTAGACCAGCCCAAACTAAATATTTTGTACCCCAAATGTCCTTCCTGCAAAAAGCAGTTCCAACTAAAATGCAGTAATGCAGTCAAACTGACAACTGTGCCACTTATGTTTTTTAATTTTAAGACACGTATGTTATGTATGTACACCTATGTGAGTTTTCTACAACACGGTCTCTTACAAGATCCTGAAACTGTGTGCAAGTCTTACCTGACATTCTCTTAAACCACTTGGGTTTGTTGTCCCATATAATAAAGAGATAGTATGCAGGCACTCCCGTCAGAGTGATGACAAAGCCAATCCCTGTACTAAATGGGTCCGAATAAAGAGAAAGAGCGACCATGAAGAGACACGTGAAGGAAAACAAAGCTGGGATGAACAGTGGTACCTGGAACACAGAACAAAAAAGAAAATCACTTCAAACAAGGCCCAGGTGACAGAAGATGGGTTAAAGAGAAGCATCCCAGTCACGTGATACACTTTAGCAATAACTTCTAGTCACATGACCAAGTGACAGACACCAAGATGCCTTACCCAAGTAGCAAAATCTCTTTCATGGGGCACAGAGAATGTAATAAACATACTCCTTTAGATTGAATTCAATTTAAGTTGTTTTCAAATCTTTGGATAGAACAAAATCTAAGGATGAAAGCGTGTTTGTTTCATTAAAGGTGTTCTGTTGGAATTACTTTGCTAGTTAAATACCATTATGATTTATGTTTTGATTTTAAAAGATTGACTCTTTGATGATTATGATTAGAATCCACTTTAATGTGAAGTCAAAAGCACCGGCTGCTTGTTCCATGTTAGAGTCTTTCAGTGAATACTGATTTTCTGTTGAGATTCACAATAAGAACTGACAGGAGTAAAACAGGCCAACTCCTATTCAACCGCTAATAAAGATGCTGCCAGCATTAGGCAATGAATATAATTAGAAACAAATTCTGACAACATGAGTGACAACATTATCTCTGCTATTTCTTAAAAGCAAATAAATAGTGAGGTCAAATCAATCCATGAATGTCCAAGTCTCAAGTATAGTCTTCGGCCTTCCCAGTGGGGAATGCTTTAGTTATGGTAAATGGGCATTCTTTTAAGGGGGTAAACTGATAGATCTTCTATTTCCCTATATATTTACATTTCTATTCCTTTTAGAGTATATAAGGCAGAGAAAGAGCAATGTAACAAGTCACAACATTCAAGTACTTTTTTTGTTTTCACAACCAGCTAATTTTTTTATTTGTGTAGCGAGGAGATCTCGCCAAGTTGCCCAGGCTGGTCTCGCACCCCAGGGCTCAGGCAATGCTCTTGCTTCGGTCACCCAAAGTGCTGAAATTACAGGTGGGAGCCACTGCACCCGGCCACATTCAAGTACTTAAATGGCCCCTTTTGTAAAGCAGCAGCCTTTTTCGACTTGTCATGAATAAAGTATCTGCCTCACTCTTTCTCAGCATGGCTGTCCATAACTATGTTGCATGAAGATAGACACAAGGATCGTATACTTTGAACATATCAGGTCACTGAACACATTCATAAAAAAAAAATCAACATTTTTCAAAAATGTGGCATACAAAGTTCAGTGCATCACATAAAAACATTGACAAACATTTCTTTCCAAGCAGAAATAAGCAAACTCATTAGGAAAGTACTGCCTGCAAGAGTTAAATATTTCATTCCACAGGATGCCGTTACCCTCCCCAATCTCCCCATCATCAAGTTATGACAAAGGAGGGCTGGGTATTAGGAGAAAGATTTATGTAAACCCTTCAAGATTGCTGAGGTTACCTTGAAAGGACGATGCATATCTGGGTATTTGTATCGAAGATAAATCAGTCCAGCAACTGCCAGCCCAATAAAAAGCCACCTGGCAAAACTGAGGAAATTCAAAAGACTGTAGAGGTCTCCAGAGAAGAGCATTATCATTGTCAAAGGGTGCTGGGGGGACAGGGAGAAAAAAACAAGCTTGGTGAGTTAAGTGAGAACAGGTATTAACAAATAATAGCATCAGGACACATTGTGATCTTTTTCAAATGATTATTAATACAGATCAACTATCGGCATGATTGGAACCTGGATTTGACTAACCTCATTTCTATATGCTGCCCTCAAAATCCATTTACACACCAGTAACTACGTGAGAGTGCCATCCTCATTGCCCTTTATTCGAGTGGAATTTTACATGCATTGTTTTGTTTTGTTTTGAGTTTCTTTTGTATTTAAAAGAAGACAACGTCTTTTCAAAGAGTAAGAAACAAACTGCTTGGTGATTCAAAATTTAAAGACTGGAAGACTGAAGTGATTCATGAATAACCAATAATACACATTAAAAGAGCACCCAGTTGGAACATTTGTAGAAAGCTCTGCGAATGCTCTGTGATGAATTCTTGCCTGCACGCACACAGGAAACACAGTCACTTGTAGAAGCTTCTGTTGGCTCTTGATGGTAAAACATTGACCTTTTTTCCTTCCACATTTACCCTCCCCGTGTGCTTGCCACGTGTGACCCTCAAGTCCACGGAGGAGAATGAAGCACAGAGATCAGCTTAACATGTCTCTGCAGCTGCACATGCCAAGGACAGCAAGACTGATAGCAGGGGCTTAAAATGAAAGCCCTCCTCATGAAATAATACATTCTGTTCCCACAAGTGACGTTAATGTCCAGATTCCGCACTGAGAATATGCGGACTTTAAAAAGAAATTTCAAGGAAATGTTCTGAAACAAATTACATGAATTAAAAAAAAATGTTCAGTAGATCCTAGGGTGTGCCTGACAACAGATACCGTTCAGAGAAATGTTACAGAACCATAGGTAAAAATGAACGTATCACTGCCAATGGATACTTGAGGACTTTCATGCCTCATATAATCTTTTGTATCCCATATTTCACAAACACTTTTCTCTGCAGAAAGAAACTTACAACTCAAATGTAAGTTTTGGTGCCTTCATTTTATCCTAGATGGTTGCTCTCAAATGTCTCACTTTTAGCCACAGAATCATCGCACTGTCTAGAATTTCATCAGTTATTTGAATAATTTTGTGTGTATTTCATTATCAGGTGCCTGTGATATGAGACATCCTGATATTTTTTGGACTGTAACTTTTATCTCTACTCCCTAAGTGGCTGGAGGTACCACTCTGCCTCCTTTTCTATGAGGTTCCATGCCAATGAGACGAGCCAAGCTAATCGTTTTCCTTAGACCTTACCGATGTCTGCAAAAGTAAGACAGAAGTGAGGTGGCCATTGCCTCAAAGCATCAAATATGCAACAGAGACACTGAGTAAAGGGATAGAAAAGATCCAAAGATCCTGTCTCCCAAACTCCGCCATGACATACATACATTAGCAACGAATGAGAAACGTAAGCACTATTCAAAGTCTGTTTGAATTACTCTTTGCTAACCTGTTATTCGAGGTTATATCTAGATATACTTGTTAATATGCATTACCAAAACAATAACAGCTGGCAGAGGAGTGTGCTTGCGGACATGAATCATGGAGAGGATTTCTGGAAGGTGACCCTCTCGAGACGCAACATAGAATAACCTGATGGGAGAAAAATGTGGGTGGAGTTGACTGTGTAATTGATCATTTCCAAGGGAAAATCCAGAAATCCCAGAGAAAACTTGCATCTTTTTTTCATAGCAAATGGCTTGGCATTTCTTAGGTGAGGACTTAGGTTTCACTTTTCAGATAAGGTAGAGAACATCATAAGAGATCTAAGTTTGAGGTCTGCAAAATCTGCCAACAAATGATACTATTCTTTGAGGGGAAACACTTAGCAATATCTGACTCAGCACAGCTCTCCTTACATATAAATAGTTGACGGGGAATTTAGTTCTCGATTCTCTGTATTATATGCGTGTTGTCAACCCAATTCAACAAATACATACACATGCACACATATGCCTATGGCATGTATATTTATCTGACTGGTTTCAATCGTATATTAAAATAAAAAAGAGGCTTTTGCACCAAACAAAACAGAGGGGATACAAATGAAGGAGTGGTCACTTCTGAAGTCTCTTACTTTGCCTTTTTCTTGGCATCTTTAGAGAAACAAAAGATTTTATCGCCAGAAATAAAATGCTGTTGTTAGACTCTGTAGACATACTGTTAAAAAAAAAAAAATGCCACTTGGCCTTCGGCAGAGAGTAGGCTATGAGTGGGCAAGCAGTGCCCTCTAATGGGCAGAATAAGACATGCTTTTGCTACATGGACCGGCATTTCAATCTTGCAGGTCCCTTTAACATCAACAGATTTGGAGGTACTATGCCTTTTCTTTTCAAAGTTATCCTTATCATAGCCAATCTCAAAAACAGAAATGTCGTTTCTGGAAACACATGAACTCACTCACCTGGAGACAGCAAACACTCCACCATTCATGGAGCCAAAACAGGAGAGGGCAACAAAGATCGGAACTGCTAATGAGAAATTTCCCAGTAGCCGCTCAGAAAAGGTCTGGTGAAAGAAAGAACGAAGCAAATTAATGCCTTGCCAGAAAGTGGAATAAAATGAAACAATTTAGGCCCAGTTTGCTCTGTGACTTTCCATTAGCCTGGTGATACGTGGATGTTTTATAATTTTTCTCTTCGGTTAGGGTCAGACTGACTCCGTGGACAATAATCAAAAGCAGGTACCGTGGCATTGCTTGTTGCAAAACGGTAGGCAAAGGTCTAAACAGGCACCTTTCTACTTTCAAAAAGCAATGATCCATTTACCGCATCTTTGTCAACGATGATATGTATTGTCTGACTCCAGTACGTGAAAAAAGCTCAGTTCAGAAGTCCTACCTACTACACAATTAACCTCCTTTCCAGCCCGAAAGCTGCATTTTATAGTGAAATACAAATGTACACTGAGAAGTGCTACAGATACTTGCTATATACCAATCCTACTGTAAGGAGGTAAATAAAATAACTGATGGGTTAATAATTGATATCATAGATATCGGCAGTTCTGAAAATCTTTTTCCCAGAAAAATCACACTAGCTGAACCTCTGTTTCTGAAGTGACTCCCTCCCTCTCAGGTATCTGCCGATTCCAACCATGGTTTCCCAGAAGAAGGCTAGAACACAAATATCACAAGTCCAATAAGCCACAGAAAAACAGAGAAGACAAACAAAACTTCTGAAATTTTCTTTTATGCTGTGCTATGTGCAGCACTGCAAATTTTCCATGAAGGATGTATTTTCCCCAAAGACAAGTGGGATTCTTCCATTGTCCTTGATGCAGCTGGTGAGATGTAATTAATGGACCACATTATGCTCAAAGAATCAGTGCTGCCCTTTGTCTAGAAAGATGAGATGACTGACCCGACATCAATAAGCTTTGTGTATTTGATTGTCTGCTAGGACCTGGAGCAGTGGGCGAGGTCTTTTTTAATACAGTGAACTCGTACATAGGTTCACGTGAAATGAGATAATTTATTCCCTGTGCATGCTGCTAATATGAGGTAATAGTATTTTAAAAGGAATTGACATCAAGTGATGGGGAGTTAATTTTTCACCCTTCATTGTTATGAGGTCACAAGTGAATGGTTTTGTTACTAGCTATGATTTTTAGGCAAAGTAAAAATATGTGTCACAGGATAACAGTCCTATAACACGATCTTTGGAGACAAAGATCGCCCTAGTTTCGAATACATTTTGGAAAATGTTGTAAAATTATGTGTATCCACTTCTCAGGGAGTTAAAGTGCACATTTAGCATCTTTAATATTCTGAGAAGTATTACAACAACATCTGTTTAACTTTGAATACCCAGTATTTCCCTAATTTATTAATGTCCCAGGACTAGTATTCAAAAGGATAAACTAGCAAAAACAAATTTATGTGGTCTATATGAAAATTCTTAAGTGCTACTTTGGGAAAGGGATGTTAAGTCCATATTTGAAAAGTTTACAAACAGGATAAACTTGTACAGTACAGAATAAATTACAATTTGTATACCCCAAATGCATTCATTTACATTCAGTAACTGTCCAATCTATCCCTAAAGACATGCTGAAAGAATAATGTCTTCTTCTCAACAGGCCTTGACAGATTTTTCAAGCTTGTATATGTGAAAGCATTTTACAAGAAATTAAAAATAAAGATAATAAACCGTATAGGATTTTAACTGTAACCGTTCAATGGAATATGCTATGGTGTGCTCTATATTTTTAAAATATTCATTATCATTCGGGTCAAGAAAAGATTCCTGAATTTCAAAACCCTTTCTGCTAGAGGGAATGACTGTAAAATTGCATCAACTCATTAACCTAAATTCCAATTGGCATCTTCCCAACTTGGACTTACCACCGCCACCGCATTTGAAAGCAACAGCTCCTCGGCGCTAATGGTCGTAAAATAGGCCACATTTGTCAGCACATAGCCCACGGTGACAATGGCCATGGATATACATATTGCAAGGGGGATGGTTCTGAAATGCACAAAGGAATCACTTATTCATGATCTTTTGTTAGTCGTTCTCTGATACCCAAGAAAATAACAGGCTCATTCAAATGAATAATACAGCGGTATCTACAATAATTATAGGTAGGTTCTGCTGGGTATGTATAAACATTTCATCAGGGCGAAGAACCACATATTCTTTTGTAATTTAATAAGGTCCGTGGGGGCAGATATTTCGTCTTGTCTACGACTAGACCCCAGAACCTACGCATCTCTCCCCTTCTTGTATTCCATAAATGCCATGACAGTGTTTCTTAACTTGAGCACACATCAGAGCCGGCGGGAAGGCTTGTTAAGGCACAGATTACTGAATCCCACCCCAGAGTTTCTGACGAAGTAGGACTTGCATTTCCCACACGTTCCTCGGTGATTCTGTTGCTGCTGATCAGAGGAGACCACACTTTGGGAACCACTGTCCTATAAATATTTCTAATACTCATTCACTGCCTTGATACCTTTCTAACTCTAGTCCTGAAAAACATTTTCCGCATTCGGCATTTTCCCTGTCAACAGCTTCCCATGCCAGCAAATAAATGCAGACTTTCGGAAGCATGAGAGCAGGCTATATCTACCTTTCTAAATGATGGCAATCATAATTTTGTATACAACACAAGAAGCACAGAAGCGTTCACCATAATGGCTTCGCACTACGCTGCTGTGAGTTCAAAGGTACCCCAAGATCATGAGTACCTAATACAGCAGCAGCGCAGATAATCCCATGAAAATAGAGGCGACGTGCTGTGAAGTACAGGTGACCGGACAGTGCTGACACTACGTGGCATCAAGAAGTCTCTGGCACAGATGCAATATTATGTCTTCATTTAACGCACTGGGAAAGCTAGGAAGTTACTGACCCTAATAATTCGATTCCATGTTACCGATACACATTACTTGCTTAATATAATTGCCTCTTCAGACGCTTTCCAACTCAGGCAACTTAAACCTTCAACTCCCCGCAAAAAGGCGGATCTTTCTTTAGCCCTATCGCTCTCATGGGGTCCTCTCCCTGCTGGGTGCCACTAATGAAGACCTCAATATAATTTCTTCCAAGATGAAAATGCAGTTCAGAAAGGAGGAAGCACAGAGGCCTCACTGCCCAGCCTGGGTGTGTTTAGCACACTGGGTCCCAGCTCATTATATGGAAAGGCAATAACCCCTGTTGAGAACAGGCAAACCCAGCCAGTCAGCAACTGCCATTCATTATGCTGCTTGGAGCCTGACACTTGCCCTGATCTCCAAAGCCTTAAGCCTTGACGAGAAAACACATTGACCTCTAAATCCTGACATCCTAATATGCAAGTAGCAGATGGTCCCCTTCCCCAGTGTGAAAACAGTCCTGTGGAATTTTCTGTTAACGCCATCACATGCGTTGCTGGTTGTGATTGATATATGCTAAATTGAACCAAAGAAAATCACCGAACCAATCACATAGAAAGGGGTGAACAGCATAAAGCAAAGTAAAGATAGATTTGGTTCCTTTGAAAGAAAGGCTATGTGTAAATGAAAAAGACTAAGAAGGAGAATGTGAAGGTATACAGATTTCCAAGCACTCATTGTATTATTTTGAACTTGAATCCTTTCTGCTTTTGTAATAGTCCCATATGGGGAATAAATTCTTTCTACGGAGGAGAGAACAGGAAGGGAGGGAGAGAAAAAGACTCTCTGTTCCTTGCAAGCATATGACTAAGATACATAAATGTCACTCATGAAAAGGGAGGTGACATTATTAAGTGCAGTGAAGTAACCTGACCTGTCCAGGACAGCTAGTACTGTCACATCCCAGGAGGCTGCAAAATAGCTGGAAGAAATAAGTCTGAATTTTAGGACTGTGGCTCTCCCAGCTTAGAATTCTGCTTCCCGGCCCAGTTCTTCCAAGTCAGCCTCCCTGCCTGTTCCCTGCCTAGACATTACAGTTTCTCAGAGGACCATTTTTTAAAATCGATCTTAGCAGAAGGGATTCTAGAAAATCAGTTTTTTAATAACAAAAACAACAGCAGCAGCTGCTGCCATTGGCTGCTGAGTACCCAACATTTTATTAGGCACTTTACATATTTGCCTCATTTTGTCTTTGGACAATCCTGCGAGTTACCAACACCAGCACTACTTTATCTATAAGGAAATGGAGTCTTTGAGAGTTTAAATAACTGTTCCAGGATACAAGACCAGTAAGGGGAAACCCTAGAATTCAGGTGCATACACACCCTTCCTTGAAATCAGGGCATTTTAATCACCAAAGTGTATCCTCTCTCTCTCATGCATGCGGGACTCCAAACTCTTTTAATTTTCAGGGAAATCAAAGTTGTTGAATATAAAGTTTATTGGAAAGCTCTTATCAAAACAGTATTCACTGATAACACAATTTTATCTACTGTAAAAAATGGAAAAAAAAACTTATTTCATGATTTTTATCATTCTTTCTTTGTATCATGAACTGTGATGTCAAGTGAAAGTTTTAAAATAATTTCACTGTTTGGGACATAGGTGTTTTTAGAAGAAAACAGAGGCTCACTTAATAAATTTCCCAAAACAGCTTATCTTATAGAAAAGGGGAAAAGGAAGCATACTTGTCAGATAAGCAGAAATAGATTATTAACAATTTTACTATCAGCCAAATATACTATATTGGTATGCGGCAGGAGAAGGGAGGGGAGAACAGGAGTTTAAAATATAAGACAAAAGAGAGTCTAATCTTGCTCCAGTGCACAGCATACCAAGGGATTTCTCTCTAATTAGATAAAACTAAACAATGTGAATCAAAAAGGGTGTGGCAAATAGTCACCAGCTTCTGTTCCTAGGTTCTATTTCACTCTGACAGAAGGAAGAGGCTCTGGGCTGCCTTGGCATAAACAGCCATCACTTAGGAAAGCAGTTGACTCCTTCAGAAGGGCTTGGCCCCAAGTGGTTAACTCTTGATTTCAAGCGTCAAGGGGTAAGAGCCACTGGGTGAGCTGATAAAAGCTATTAGGCCATGCCAGAGCAATCTTGCTGGAGGCTTTAGATGCAGCGGGCAGATAAGCACGGCTAGTAACCCAAGATTAAGGCAAATGGTACATGATAATAAAAGGAATTAGAGAAAGAAACCGGCAGGCCAGCAAGATTTCTAGGCTCTGTGTTATTATGTGTTCACTAACCTTAAATACAGCAAAAACACTGTCTTTAAGCTGAATAAAAATGACTCACACCTATGAGTTCTACTCTTTTCAAATGTTTGTAGATGTTTTTTATGACTAACGAAGCACAAATTTATCTAAAAGGTTTATTTAATCCTTAAGAGCTTTTTAACATTATATAGGTTCTTTTTAATTAACAGGCATTAAGTGTGTGAGTCTGGTATTTGTATTAGTTGCAAATGATCTTCAGTCAGAAAGGCACTCTTTTCTTAAAAGCATATTTTAAAATTGGCACCTATAACCAGTCTATGTCACACATGAATAAACAGTTGTTTTATTTGTAATCAATAAATGGAAGTCTGTAAAACATTTGCTTAAAAGCACTCTTTTTTTTTTTGAGTTGACATCTCATGTGCTGCCCAGGCTGGAGTGCAGTGGCCCACTCATGGTCACCACAGTCTGTCTGTTGGGTTCAGGTGATTCTTCCGCCTCAGCCTTCCAAGTTGCTGGAACTACAGGCATGCGCCACCACGACCATCTAATTTTTTGATTTATTGTAAAGATGAGGTCTTGCCAAGTTATCCAGGCTGTTCTCAAACACGTGGGCTTAGGTAATCCTCTCACCTCAGCCTCCCAAAGTCCTGGGATTATAGGCATGAGCCACCTCACCCAGCCCACTTAGAAGCACTTTCATTCTAAGGGACAGAATTATCTAGGAATCTAAATGACCCAATATTGATGGCTACTGGCTTTTATCTGTATACTCTACAAAGCACTGGCAAATACATTTTATTTTATCTTCAAATATATGCATGCCATTTAAAATCATTTATGGAATGAGAAAAACTATGAGTAAATAGAATTTACAACAACCCATTCAAAGTGGTTGATGCTTCACATTTCTATTTTAAGCAATATCCCAAATTTTTAAATAAGAAAACCAAGACTCAGAGAGACATGACCAAGGGTTGGAAGCTAAACCACATCTTCCAGTGCTAAGTTCCACACTCATGGTGTATCTTGTTATGATATCATGGTTACTTTGTGCCTACTTTAACCCTAGGTACAAGGCCCCCAGGATCCTTACCTGATGAGAAACATATATTATATTTTATATAAATGATATAAACATTAGAAGGCCAGTTATCGCAGTGTGACACACTTCAAGCCAAGCATATTTTTCTGTGAACCAAACAATAACCACAAACAGACTTACAAATAATGCTGCATAAGAGACATCTTTAAAAACACGCTTCTCAACTCTATAATGGAGTGTCATCAATGACTCTTGTCTCCAGTACATCATTTGGGCTAAAAGTGACCCTTGCTGTGAAAACAGAAGGAGTAAACCTAGTTTGATTCTCCAGAGAAGTCAAGGAAACCTGAAGGTTGGAGAGATTTCTGACATACTGAACACGAGTAATTCTCTAATCACTGAAATTTGGAATATTCCAAGATTGATTTATGACTTCAACAAAATCTTCTGAGCTTTGTGCAAACCAAAATAGTTCTCACACCATCCCCTGTGTTAAATACATGCAATGTGAGCCACAGAATTCATTGATCCCGGGGTACCCAAAACTGTCTGTGTGTTGTAGGGCTAGGCATGATGACGGCTGTTTTGTTACTCTTGGTTGATGCTTCACATTTCTATTTTATAAATATTAATATCACACATGCATTTGGCATTCAGGAAAAAAGAAAGGAGGAAGGAAAGGAAGAAATAAGAAGAGCAAGAAAATGGCAAACAATAGGTGACATATAAAAAACACAGGGAAACCAGGGACTATTTCTTTTTATGTAATTGAAACAAAACTGCGATTTATCTCCACATAAAGTACTTATAATTATACTATCT